AGACGAGCAGAAAAAGCTGGACAACTACTGGGAAAGATTTGAGCACCTCGTGAAACCACACTCAAATGAGTTAATAGCAGCGTGGGAGCTTTATAACCTTCGACAACGTACTCTCCCTCTGCGAAACTAAGAATTCTTGTGAAGGGAGCCAACTATCCAGTCGAACGCAACGATCGTTTCCTTAGAGATTTTCTTGTGCTGGGTATGAAATCTGACCGTATACGTAAGGACTGCTTTAAGGTTGGAAATGCTCTCACGTTTAACGCAGCTCGTGAGATGGCCAAGTCAGAAGAGTCAGCAGAAAAACAGCTTCAGTTAATAAATACCGAAGTACACTCCATCAATGCACCTAAAGGATACCAAGGCCTCAAAAATCAGCGACGAAACACTGGCTCAGGTAAATCCCAGGCTTGCAGGAATTGCGGCTGGGGTCCTCATTCAAGAGATCTGTGTCCAGCGAAGAATGCCACATTCCATTATTGTCGTAAAGTAGGACACCTAGCTAAGGTACGCCTATCAAAGTTAAAAAGAAAGATGTGCATGACATTGAAGCTACAAGTAATGGTGCAAGCGAGTCCGTACCAGATCCCAATTATCACATATTTCTGGGCCGAAGTGGTGTAACACCCTTGACTAGTAGTGTCCATGCCATCTCTTCTAGAGTGAAAGCCCTCTTGGAAGTCTCCCTATCACTGAACCCACATCCGTCCTATGTAAGATAGACTCTGGTGCTGAAACCAAAATCATACCCACATCTTTGTACAATCGACTTGCCCCTCGGGTTATGAATCTACAGAAACCTACCACCAAGCTAACAGCATATGGTGGAACTGAAATCCCGAGCTTGGGCATCTGCCGAGTTTACGTAAAGGGCCCCAACAGCCCAGAACCCAAAGTAATCCAGGCGGAAGTTGTAGATGTCGATGGGCCTCCTATCATTGGTAACATATCAGCCCAAAGTCTGAATCTTCTGAAACTTAATTGGGCCGTCGCCGCTAAAGTAGCAGCGAATCAACCAGTCAGTCCTTTAAACTACTCGACGCACGTGGTAAGCCACTTCCTTTCCCACTGACGAAAGAATA